AATAAAAGCAATAGCTTCAGCGATTTGAAGTGTCGAAAGTCCCGCTCTTCACGCGGCTTTTGTTTGTTGTCTGCTGCCGGCTCGGTTGGTGACTGACGGGATCGCTGATGAGTGGATGAGCTGTGATAAGTGACGGGGTCGCTGATGTCAGGAAGTGAGGGACCATTTCGGGCCAACCTTCGTCCGTTAGCCCCCCCCCCCCTTTTCTTCGCCGTCTCCTCAGCCACTCGTGCCGTGCAATCAGCGGCATTATCTTCCTCTCGACGACTCCCCTTTTAATTGCTTGTTTTCATCATCTTGGTCGCAGAGTGCGAAGCAGGATATGGGAGAGGCAAAGCCGAGGGCAAAGCGAGGAAAAGATATGTTACTGGACTCAGCGAGTTTATGGGTCTTTTGCTCTGGCTCTCGTATGCGTGCGACTTGTCGGCCGACACCCTTACATATACTTCCATACGCCATCGACGAGCAGCCCAGGAGGATCTCACAAATGCTCTGCAGGCCCTCTGGAACGTTGGGCCGTGGCCAAGCAAACTTTGTCGACGCCCTCGTAGGACTTCCCTTCCCTCGCCTCGCACAACCCTGCGGACGGGACAGAACCCTCGCCCACGCCCTGCTCGCGTTAGGTGACCCCTCGTGACCCGTTTCCCGTCCCTCCCTGCCTGGAACGGTCTACATAGCCGAACGCAAACCCCGCACATACTTCTGCTTTATTCATTTTTCAGTCTCCTTTTTTCCCCCGTCTATTTCCGGCCAAGTGACTTTCTTCCTCAACCTCCCCCTCCTGAATCGAATACGCGCTCTACTAGTTTTCCGTCGTTTCTCTTTTCCCTTCTCTTTCAGTGGCAAAGTAATATGGACTCGCAGGAGTGGGAGAAAGAAAGAGATAGAGACAGGGGGGGACGGGACGAGAGGTGAGGAGTGGGGAGCAGCATTCTTTCTATCGCGCGCACAAGAAAAGAAAGAAACAGCAGAGCGAAAAAAAAGAAACACGAAAGGAGCTGGACGCAATCCAGGCGAGCGCGATGTGTCGAAACACATGACCATGGAGCGGAGCATGGGCGGGCCCCGCGCGCCTCGCGTTCATCGCATCGCACAGCCTAAGCGTTTCCCCCGCCCCGCCCCGCCCTACCACCCACCACACCCCCACGACGACCCAGGCTGGAGGTGCACGCGGCGGTGCTGAACCTGGAGTAGTCCCCAGCCTGGGGAGCACACAGGCCCCGCCCCGACCCGGGCGGGTGTTCCGCTTGGCTCGCCAGCCCGACTACTCTCGGCACGGTCCATATCACCCTAACGCCGTCTTTCACTCGATGGAGGACG